CGTCATTCCATCACCGCGCCAAATCATTTAAGAGCGTAAGACGGAACTGCCGCAAATGACACGAGGCCGATAAATAAAAAGACGCGCGCGTTTCCTTCGGCGGGAACGGTTTTAATAAGGCAGTGAGTGTAATCAGTGGCTTCACTAGGGCCACGCCAGGCATGATTGTCCGCCAGGAACGGTGATTTATGAGGGCAGTTGCAGCAGTGGCTTCTTGCTTGATTACATGGCGGCCCACAAATGCATGCAGCAAACAGATATTAAATCAGCGGGGCATATTCCGATGACACCGCTCTGAGGGGAGCGTGGGCGAGGGGCGTCTGCTGTGAAAACCTGCTGGGGGTGGGGAATTACGTTTCCAGAGGTCCTGATGAGTTTCGGTGTATGGCAGGTCATTACTTGTCATGAGGCTGTAAATAGTAAGGAGGGTTTCGCCATTATTATGACATGTGGGTTACACGCGGACCCTTGATAATCATGGGAAAAGGGCGAATGGAAAATATTAAAGAGGCTATATGTGTGGCTCTGGCTCTGAAGAGTGTGGTAGCTTGGGTGAACTCTCAATTTGCTTTTGCATCATAAAGGCCAATAGATTTTTGTGTTCATTGAGAAGATGACCTGTGGTTGTTCCCAGGATATCGTATGTGCCATATAAGTAGGAAGACATGCAGGAAACCAAAAATATAGTTTTTATTTGAACTTTAGGCCTAATGTAATTTTTGGCATCAGTGATATTTATCACTTAAATGTGTATAAATATTCAAAACATAATATCTATAATAGTGCTGTCAAATCGATTACCGGTAATCATGATTTGCATATATATGTGTATGTGTTCAGTAGTGGCGTGTTACGCAGTCACTCCTTAAATTTTATATATATAATATACATTTTTTGAAGACAGCTGCTATTCGAGTTACACACAAACACGCCTCCTCTCATTAACTCGTTCCATGAATATTGTTGCTGTTACAGGGCTTGAATTTTGGCATGGGATTGTGCATATTTATACTCATTCCTGGAGATTTTGTGCTCAAACCCAAAGTATGTTGCACATACAGCCTCCTTTCAGTACTAAATTACGTTCTTTTTCGCTGCTTATTGCGTTAACCCATTTGTGCCCAAATTTTTCTCAATGGTTTCATGCATATAGTCGTGTTAATAATGTCCTATGTGAACATGTTCTGCATTTATTTCCTCGGGTTTTTTTTTTCTTCTTGAAAATCGTATTTGAATGTTCGGCAACTATAGTTGCCAGTGGGAAAATATGTTGTATGCGCCCCATCATTGTTAAATATGAATAGGAGGAGAACATTTGGCATTTATCTCAAAATAACTGCTTTCAACAGATCAATCTTTATTCATAAACAAATTTATTGTGTATTAAAGTCGAAGAATGTTTGATGCGAACCCAAAAAAGCGGAATCTATAGCTTATAATGTCTTCAATATAAAAACACAACAAACAACAAATCCATTTGTCTTAAACCTTGTGTGCTGTTTGGGGTCTTTTTGACCCACATTTCTAACTTTCATTTATGGGGATAACATGGATAATTTGACATGGTTTAGTGTAAGATTTTTGCCAATCTTTTGGAAAATGCCGTTTTAAAAGTAACAAATTATCACTTCAACCAGTAGATGGCTGCAGAGCACCACTATTTACGATTTGCTATTTGACTAAATGAAAGACATATTTTCACAAGTTTTTCCAGTTGTATTCATATCTAGATATTATGAAATCACAATTATAACAATAAAAGAAACTTTTTGTCGAAGTCAAAAGGCATTTTTTGTACTGGAAAAAAATCTGTTTTTCAATAATGTTATAGAATCAAATGATTCATCCTCAAAATCAGAAAGAACACAGAAATTTGGTGGCACATTTCACACAATTTTTTGAATTATGTGAAAAACAGATGTTTGAAATAAATTATAAACCCTAAAGACTCCAACTTTTCTCTTTGTAACATCCTGATCAGGTTTGATTCTAATCATAATGTAACATTATTGAAAAACTGATTTTTTCAGTACAAAAACTGCTAAACTTACTACAAAAAGTAACTTATATTGTTATAATTATGATTTCATAATATGTAGATATGCATATATCAAAAATGCAATTTGTTACAAAATGTAACAAATTACATTTAAAATTTGTACAAAATTTGTTACAAAATTACATTTTGTTGCCTGGGGTCTCTGAGACCACAAACAGCCTGACTGTAAACCTCAAATGAACAGCGCACAAGGGTTATAGTGGTAGAGTCCAGAACAAAGTGCAGCCATAACAGGGCATTGTGTATCAAAAAGTGAAATGAAAATAAATAAATACAAATAAATAGAATGAAGTAAAAATGTATATATATATATATATATATACAGTATATATATATATATATAAAACAAATGACAAAATGGCAAAAAAATAAAATAACAGTGCATACAAGGGTAAAGTTATTAAACAAGTCCAATAACCTTGAATTATTAACCTATTAACACAGTATACCCCATTTCCCCATGATATATGTACTTACAAGGCATTTGCCCACCGGCAACTAGTTGCCGCTTGGACTTTTGACTAAAACTATAGATCTATTGTAAGATTTGTTTTGTTTAGAGGATTCTAGAGACCGTCATGATTATCTAGATATATACTGTATGTCAACAAAAAATACTTATTGGTAATATGAAAATTAGCTTTCTTTGGAAGGGTTTGCCTTCGCCATGCTTCCTGGAAATAGGGGTAGGAAGTTGACAGCCTCATGTGACAGGAAGGAAGTGAATACCTTTTTTTCCCTTGAAATCCTTTATTTGGTTGTTTCCTTGCATGACATTGCGACATACAACATGGATAACATCTAGAAAAATACTTACACAAGGAAAATGGCAACTATACACTGCGGCAACTAGTTGCCGGTGGGCTTAAATGGGTTCTAAACTAAAAAAATGAAGCCTACCCGGAAGTGCGAAAAACTGCAATACATCTAAAATCCGCTAGAGGGAGGTCCCAAAAGGGAGGAAATGTCCATAGACCCCATGTTAAAATGTCAGTTTTCACAGCAAATTCATGCTTTTACAGGTTGGTCCCGTGGACTTTTATTGTATTTTTCAATAGGTTCTGAGTGCCTGACAACTGTGAGGGGGGTGAATTTTTTTTCTAACTCGTTAGTTTAGATCGTATTTAGATATAAAATGTATGACAAATAAGGGCGGTTAACTTTGATTGACAGCTGATAACGGGCTGCGCCGAGTGGAATTTAACGTCTGACACAGCACATCATACCACCTCTGTATCCTTTCTGAACATTTGTATTTTTGTATTTCCAAGATTTTTCAAGCTGGCGCCGCCCATACCCCCCCATAAACAGCCTCAAAACTGTTCTTCAGAAAGTCTATGGGTGACGTCACAGAGGCTTTGTCCATTTTTTTTTTTACAGTCTATGGCTTAAACAGTCAAATACACACAAAATAATGTCAAAATGTCTTGGTGAATATTCACGTAAGCACAGTCAGTTCTGGTTTAAGTGAACATAAACAGTTGATTAAGAAAACATAACATAATAATGGATCCATGCGTCATGGTATCGTATTGACGTCAAAATCTGACACTGAGTGGCTAATAACATTGGAAAACCACTAGCTACAGTGGCTGGTGAGCCTAGTGATTAATCACTTAACTCCTTTAAGTACTAGGAATGCTGGAAATGGACGCAAGGCCAGGTTATGAGACACATCAATCTACTTTCCCAGTGACTCTTTAAGTACAGTTTACTGTTGCAAAAAAAAAAGGTGATAGGTGAACACACTGCTCATCTTTCTTTAACAATAATGATCACAGAGTTCAGGCCATTAAACTTTACAATATGTAAGCAATAAATTATTCAAAGTTTATTTTTGTTTCAAAGCTGCAATCCAGAGAACAATTTTAGGGCCTGTTTAGTGCTGTAATATTTCATATGGAATTCCTCATCCTTGGGGTTTTCAAACCATTTATTGTTGACAAAATAACCATAAGCTAGATAACTGATGCCGTTGTGTAAATTATAAAAAAAAAAATTATAATTCTTTTTTGGTTAGGTTAATTCATAAGGATTAGTGGGTAAAAATCAATTTCCTTTTTCTTGCAAATGGCAATGTAGCATCTTTTGAGAAAAACAGAGATTAGGGAGCAGCGTTAAATCACTTGTCATAAAACGTGGGGGAGAGAGAAAGAAAGAAAGAACGAAAGAAAGAAAGAAAGAAAGAAAGAAAGAAAGAAAGAAAGAAAGAAAGAAAGAAAGAACGAACAACCGGTTCTATCCATTGTTGTTGTTGTTTGTTTTTTGTTTTTGTTTTTCAAAATAACACAGTGCCACCCCATGGATGCAAAACGAATTCTTTCAGATAATAATAATAATAATAATAATAATACAAATTTTAAAAATCTAACTCTGAAGGACAGGGGAGTAGCTACACATTACATATTTATACAAAACACGCTGGTGAAAATGGACCAATAACTATTGTGATTTACTGATAAGGCATTATATGTGAATTTCTAGTTCCAGATGCCAATTCTTTGAATTAATAAAAGCCCGTGTTAAAAACAAATACCTTATTCATGTCTGCAATGAGACAATAAATGGTGCTAGAATGTAATTGGGTTTATGAGCCACCATGGCCCCCTAGACTAGAGGAAAACAAATGTCTCATAATGATCAGGACACACTGGTAGAAAAGTGTTCATGGACCCGTGATGGGCGGAGCCTAGAGACGGTGCTTTTTACGTCATACTAATGTGTTTCCGGTTGAGAGGTATGCGTGTGTTTTGTACTTTGGATGAAAATTGCAGAAACATATTTGTATGTAAAACCAACACTGTCATTAAGACAGTCTTTTATTTACACAGCGGCGCGTGTCGTTTTACACTCCACGATGTTTGCGAGAGGCTGTTTACAGCCTGTATACAAATACAAGCAGGCTTATCCGATTCTAAGGTCATTATGAGGACAATTATTAATATTACTTATTTTAATATGATTGCATACATTAATTTAAACTAAGATTGAAATCAAGACCGCCATGTTTTTTTCCGTTTTTTGACTGTACGAGTTAACGTACTTTAGGTTAGGTTGTAGGTGTGTATGTGTAGTCTTTAAATCCCACTGTATGATCTGATCAGATTACGTTACAGTCAAGCTGTGTGATCCTGTTTACTACTTGTTTCAGTCGTGAATAAGACAACATTTGTTCGAACATGACTGACTTAAAATGCCAGGCTAATTCTATTGTATTTGCACTAACTGCATTTGCTTTCCTTGTATCTTTAACATGTCTTTTTTACAGACCAGTGATTATAACAAGGTCATCACGTGTGTTAATATCAGTCTGTCTTAAATGGTTGTGTCTTTTCTCTCAGTTCGAACTCATTTCATGTCGTTTATCTAGAATGGGGAACTTTACGTCGTCTGCGCCTGGGTTGTCGAGCACAGCATGTAATCAGTTTGTTCAGGTAAATTTACGCTTGTTTTGCGTCAATTAAAGGAATGGTTCTTCCTTTAATGGTTCTGTCTTTTTAACTCACTTATTTCGTTCCGAACCCTTATGAGTGTCTTTTCTGTGGAACACTATTCCTTGCGTTCCAGATTCGTGAATGAATCATTTAGAACTGTTTTAGTGAACCGGATCTATAAATTCATTGAAAATGTTGGACGAATGTGAATAACAGCTTAAAGGGGATAGTACACAAAAATAATAAGGACAATTATTTTGTCATCATTTACTCAAATTTCGAACAAAATTTGGTACCCAAACAGTTTTGGTCCATCCCTATTTACTTCAGTTGAAAATAGCCTACCAAAATATTTGCGCTGCACAGTTGAATTACAATAAAAACAAAATCAGTATTTCTAGGTGAGATTTTTTTTCTCAAATACTAGATTTTTACTGGGCTTTTGAAACATTATATTATTATTATATCATAGTCAACATTTTGTCCCAAATTGTGCTGCACTACAAGTTCAACAAACGAGCAAAGAAAACCTGGAGGTTTTTCCCCACAATTCTTGCAGAGCTAATTATATATCCCATGTCTTAAATATGTTTTTATTTTTTACTTTATAGGATGTTGTGTCCAGTAACTGTGTTGTAATATTCTCCAAAACCACATGTCCTTACTGTAAGATGGCTAAGAACGTCTTTAATGAGATTGGAGCTACATATAAAGTTGTCGAATTGGATGAGCACAACGATGGCCGACGTCTCCAGGAGACCTTAGCACAAATAACAGGTGCCAGAACAGTAAGTCCTGTCATTTGTTTATATTTACCAAACCATTCCCATTCCTGGATGCTGATTGGATTTTTGAATGTGATTTATATATAAGTAGATATATAATTTTTGTCAAGATGGTATTGTTGACGATAGGCCTTTTCACTCTTTCAGGTGCCAAGAGTCTTTATTAATGGGAAGTGCATTGGAGGTGGCTCGGATACAAAACAGCTCCACCAACAAGGGAAACTTCTACCTCTTATTGAACAATGTCATCCATGCTGTTTGAGTACCAGCCCTGAGGGCTCGGGCAGTGGTCAATATCAACCTAATCAGTCATAGTTTTGTAATGTATATCTATACTTGGTCACCATTGAACAGCCCAAATACAGATTAAGTATTTGTGTCTTAAAATGTATGCTGCTGTAACTGCCTGATTTGAATTTGAGTATTGTTATTTGTTTTGTTTTTTTTATTTTATTTTTTTCTGGGACTCTGGACTTGAGTTACAGCACCTATGTATTCAGTTATGTACAGTATACACATTATTTTAAATAAAGTATTTTTTTTTTCAAAAAAATTCTGTTTTTTTTTATTGTAAGCACACAAACACCCAGTGGTTTGGAATAAAACCTCATTTTACAACGTAAACTGATTACTGACGACTATTCTGTAAGAATTAAATCGTCAACCCGGTTACTAGTTTGAAATTGAAAGCATTGTTACTATTAATTGAGCGTGTTATTTTGACACTATGTGGAGTTTATTACCATTTAAATGCACTATGTTTGTTAAACGATGGAAATTTCCTTTCTAAATCACTTTTGTGAATGAATTTTTGGAGTCGTAGACACTCCTAGACACACGGAGGCGGACGCGCGCTTCATGTGTTCAAGGCACAGCATGAAGCAGAAGAAAGACGCTTGTCGAAAGGAATGCCGGGAAAAATACTGTATGTGTGAATGAGTCTCGTTAGCCTCGTTTAACCGCTGCACGAGAACAGTTTTCTATTTGCAATAAAATATTCTTTCAGAAATGGCGGGGAGCGCTGGGGAATGGTGTCTTATGGAAAGCGACCCGGGAGTTTTTACAGAGCTGATAAAGGGCTTTGGTGAGCACTCAATATTTTCTTACATTAGCGGTTGCTAGTTTTGCTTCAGTTCAGTGATTTTGGTCTCCAATATGATTGGTAATTATAGTGCGTGACTGCCAGCCTGCCATGTGGTTCCTGGTTTAAATCCACTTTAATCAATTCTTTGAATGAACTCAGCTATGAGTCAGCACTGCACTACACTTGCTAATGAATGCAGAATGACAGCTGCCTCACATTTCTGCAAGTTTAATGTCAGCATGTTTCAAAAAATGTTGAGCAACCTACCCAAACGGCATTTTTTAGCATCCTTGACAACTTGTGGTTTTGGATGCCTACTAACATTTGAATTCAGTGTATTGAGGCGTAGGCACGTTCCGAACATTCGATTAATCTTTTTGTGGGCATCATGTGTTCGAGCATTTGATTCAGTATTTGAACATCATGTTCTGAGCATTCGATTAAACATTTTGTCGGTATTATTGTTTGAACACATCTTGAGTTCAGTATATTTGGACATTAAGCGCACATTCGATTCATATATTTCTGGGCATCATATTGTTCGAACATTTGATTCAGGAACGTTATATTTGGTCATCGTTTCCATGATCTGAGCTTTCGATTCATATTTTTGTCGGTATTACGAATTCGGTAGGCTATGTTTGTCCACTATTCGCACGTTCCGATTTCCGAACATTCGATTGATTATTTTTGTTGGCATCATATTGTTCGAACATTTAATTCAGTATATTTGAGCATCATAAATGTTCTGATCATTTGATTCATCTTTTTGTTGGTACTCTTGCTTGAATACAATTCACTGGGCATTATTCGCACGTTCCATTCATTCTTTTGCATTTGCAAGTTCCGAATATTCGATTCATTCATATTTGTGTGGGTATTAGTGCCTGGTTCAATGTGTTTCAGTATATTTGGGCATAATTTGCACATTCCAAACATTTTTTAAACATTATTGGAAGTGTACAAACATTAAGTATACAGTATCTGGGCATCATTTACACATTCTGAACACTATTCATATTTTTATGGACATTATAGGTGCATTTATTGATTCTGTATTTTTGGGCAACATTCATTAAATCTTTTTAGGTGTTATTGGTTGCATTCGAACAATTTCTTTCAGTGTATTTGAGCATCTTGATTTACACATCGATTTTATTTATATCTCTCCCTAGTCAACTTGTGATGTGATCGACCAAAACGCATTTATTTCGCAACATTTGTGCCTTTCGAATATCATGTGACACTGATTTCTCTGTTTTCATTAGGATGCAAAGGTGCACAGGTGGAGGAGATATGGAGCATGGAGCCAGAAAACTTTGAAAATCTCAAGTAAGCAAATATCCATGAATCTGTTATTATATGCAGTGTTTTTCCAGTGTTCTAACTGCACTTGAATATGCGCGTAAATCATTTCAGGCCCGTTCATGGTCTGATTTTCCTCTTCAAGTGGCAGCCCGGTGAGGAGCCCGCGGGGTCTATTGTTCAAGACTCAAGGCTGGATCAGATCTTCTTCGCCAAGCAGGTGAACAATAATGCATTGAATCCAATACAGCAGCCTGTTATCAAAAGCAAAAAAATAACATTTGAACATTTATGAATGCGAATGTGTCGTTTCAGGTCATCAATAATGCCTGCGCGACCCAAGCGATCGTCAGTGTGTTGTTGAACTGCACGCATCCTGACATGCTCCTTGGGGAAACGCTGACAGAATTTAAAGAGTTTTCTCTCAGTTTTGATGCCGCGGTAAGTTTGCACGTTTATTTTACTAGATACGTTTCATTATTATTGCTTATGAACGTTTTTTTTTTTTGTTGCTTTTTCAAGATGAAGGGTCTTGCTCTCAGTAACTCTGAAGTTATTCGACAAGTTCACAATGGCTTCGCTAGGTTGGTTATTTTTGCTCTTATGAAACTTTTCTCTTTTACTATATGACTGATATCATGTATAATGTTTTTTGCCATTTTCTTTTTTTCCCCGTAGACAACAGATGTTTGAGTTCGACGCTAAGTCGTCGGCTAAAGAAGAGGATGCTTTTCACTTTGTTAGCTACGTTCCTGTTAACGGGCGACTGTACGAGTTGGACGGACTTCGCGAAGGACCCATAGACCTTGGTAGACGGAGTGGACTTTGAATTGTTCGTTTTGCGCAGTTGGTTCATGTTCTTAAATGATTTTGTCTCTTTCTCAGGTGTGTGTAACCAGGACGATTGGATCAACGCTGTACGGCCCGTCATTGAGAAACGAATACAGAAGTAAGCATTAAGCTGAAGTGATTTATTTTGAGGCGTTGGTATTTCTACAAAGCTGGTTAAATCATTTGTTTTTTTAGATACAGTGAGGGAGAGATTCGATTCAACTTGATGGCCATTGTTTCGGACCGCAAGATGATTTACGAAAAGAAGATCGTTGATCTACAGGCTCAGCTCACAGAAGTAAGACCTTCTGACTGATAAATACTGGAATGACAGAATGAGGACGCTTAAAGACGTTCCTGCTGTTCACAGGAAGAGCCGATGGACACAGACCAGAGCGGGAATCTTCTGAGCTCCATCCAGTCAGAGATCGCCAAGTATCAGCTCCTGATTGAAGAAGAGACCCAAAAACTTAAAAGATACAAGGTATGTACATGGGTTGTTCTCCTGTAATTTATCCATTCAAATGTTAATTTTGTTTCTAAATAATATATTTAATAAAATATGGAATTTGAATTAAAATTTGTAATTAATGATAATAATAGTAATTATTACTAGTATTACTGTTATTACTATTAATTAGTAATTATTATTTTCATCATTGATTCTTAATTTCTTTATTTTCTTAAATGTAAATGTACTCATTGTAAAATAATGATGATAATTAATTAATTTAATATCTATCTATCTGTCTATCTATCTATTTTATAAAGTAGAAATTCACATTACTTTCTGATAATAATAATGTAATAATAATTATATTACTATTTTCCTCATTGGTTCTTGATAAAACATTTTTATACTTTTTTCTTTAATGTTTTTCCTAATTTATCCTTTAAGTAACATTACAAAATATTACTTTTCTTTTATTATTATTGTCGCTTTTTCTCATTGACTCTTTAAAAAAACGTATGCATGTTATAAAATATAAAATACAATACTTTATTGTAATATAATGAAAAACCTGATTATTATTTATCCTTTCAAATATTGACTTTGTTTATATTATAGGTAACATGCTATAAATATATAATCACTTTTCTTTTATTATTATTCCTAATTGGTTATGTTAGTTAATTTTATTAATAAGTGATATGTCATAAAATAACTACCAATAACTACTACTTTTAGAAAAAAATGGCTGCATTTATTTTTTAAGATTGAGAACATAAGAAGGAAGCACAACTACCTACCCTTTATAATGGAGTTACTGAAGACGTTGGCCGAATATCAGCAGCTGATTCCTCTGGTGGAAAAGGCAAGTACTATCAGAGCCGGTGTGTGTGTGAGTGGAGTCCAGTCAGAGCCGGTGTGTGTGATGGTGAATCTCATGACGCCACTAGAGGGCACCATTGATGCATTATTTCGACTTGGCCTTTGAGCTTGCAGTGTTTCCCTCTCTTGGTAATTTGACTGCAGGAAACCTTGCGGTTAGTGATGTTATTTGAACGCTACTATGCTAAGAATAAAGACTCAACACCTAAGTTGAAAAGCTTAATGTAGTCCTGCAGCAATAGCACCCGTATAGTATAGTATACCCATTTACATTTATTCACCCAGTGCATTGTCGGAAAAGCTGTATGGCAATCTAGTATTCAAATTCAAAATACTAGGAATTCTACATTTAAATTCAGTTTATTAAAATAAATATGAAAAAGTCTTTTTCTTTTTCTTTCCTTTGTTTCTTTAGGCAAAGGAAAAACAAAGTGCCAAAAAAATCCAAGAAGCCAAGTAACCCCACATTTGTAGACCCCGTTTAATGAAATGCCACGGAATCACTCGCTGTGCTGTTGTCTTCTGTATCCCATCAAAGGAGCGCCTGGAAGTGAAGTCGAGCGTGGTGCTTCATGTCACCTCCTTCATGTCTGCATGCATGTGAAGAGATGTTTAAATAATGTCTTATTTTCATATAAATTTCATTTCAGTAATAGTGTTGTTTCATGTTTTGTTCTTGTTAGCGCACGGTAAAAGATGATAAATGAGTCTTAAATTACTGTAAAATACTGTACAATAAAGCACTAATCTATTATTATTGTTTAATAATTAGGATGGTATTTTTTATTTAAATGATACTCATGTGAAAAGCCTCTTCTGTCAGCATCAAATCTTTAGAGGAAGGGTTTTAATTTTATAACGTATCATTAATCTGTACTAATAACATGGAAAATTTCTCCCTGTCTATTAGGCAAAAGCGAACTGCTTCATGTTCTTGAAGAATTTGTTTGCTTTACATGGCAGCTTCGTGTTTCTTATGTTAGCAAATAGAGCTGTTTTGTCCTGATGTTTCCTGTCATCTGGGATGTTTAATTTGGGAATATGACGCAGACTCACATGGGTAGACATGCGGTCAGGCTTGTTACAACTGTAGCAACCATGCAGTGTTGAAACGGGATCTTTATTTCTATGTGCCATTCCTCAAAAATATCACATTAACTAATCACTTTTTTTGTTGACGGTACTGTTTTGGTTTACTTTGACTTTCAAAAATGAAACTACTCGAGAAATATTCACTGGTGGAGTGATGGGTGATTTCCATGTAATTTGCTTAGTAGTGTTATTTTAGTATTATTTAAATACTAATATAGTATTAATTAATATTTGAAATATTGCAACGTTCAGGTTCTGGAAATAAAAACTCAATTTAATTTATAGGGAAATTGGTGATGATAACTTATTTAAAAGGCTTTAAAGTCAGCCTTACTGTAAGCTATAAGGTTGCTTCTGTTGAAGCTATTAGACCACATTTCACAGCTGAATTCCTAGTGAAAACTACATTACCCATAATGCTATATAGAAAATTTAACCAATAGTGTCAAAGTTATGATGTCACTTTGTAGGCCAAACGCGAAAGTGAGTCGATCGAGGGAACCTATGCACCGCTAACTTCCGAGTTATCCTACAAAGTGACGTCATAACTTCGCCACTCTTTAGCCGGAATGCTAAAATGCTAACTCACTTCCGCGTTTTGGCCTACAGAGTGACTTCGGCACTCTATTTGAGACTAGCAAAATTTGCCAGAAGCGTTTTTTTGCTCCGCCCACTCGCATGAAGCACTGCGAATAACGTAATTGTTTAAGGCTGCATCCAAAATAGCATTCTTCCCTACATAGTTGGTGAAAAACAGTATGTGACAAAAGATATAGGTCTATTTCGAGTTCACAGTACAGTTCTTGTAAAAAAATGTGTGAATGGCAGTGAAGCGATGCAACTGACGCTGGTAGGTCGCATGATAATGTCAGTTCGAATGTAGTTCGTCCAGAATTCATACTCAGTGCATGAATGTTGGTTTGAATGAGTTTGGTGGCCATTTGGTCTGTGAATGTGCCATATATATATATATGTATATATATATAGTCCATTTACCATTTATACTACGCACATTCATCTGAACTGGCGCTGCGCAGATCTGAAAAATATCTATGGGATAAAATATGGAAAAAAATATTTATGAAACCAGGGCCACTATTAGCTTTTATATATATATATATATATATATATATATATATATATATATATATATATATATTATGACATATTACATATCTTTAATGTATTTCAGTTTTTCATTGCAGATCTTTTGCTAAAGCAAAATTTCAAGAAAAAGTTTTTCCTCCGTTTTTTTCATTTTTTTGTTGTTGTTGTTTTTCAATTAATAAAACTATCCGTTTTTAAATAGTTTTTAGATATAAAGCTGAAGTGCACTGTTTTATGTTAAAATATTTTAATCTGCCCGTCATGAAGACAGAGGGGACATCTGAAATGTTTTTCGGTTGGTGACGTGCGTATCCGTTTCGCGCCACTTTCTCTGTCCAGTAATTTCTTTCTTTCTTTTTGCCTTACCGTTGTTGCAGCAGTTCTCATGATGTGATGGAAAAACTTCAGTAAGTGTTGTTCGAGAGAGCTGAAAGGGTGCTTTAATAGTGTGCAGCGTTAAAGCAGACACTTTATCAAGTTTGGCAATAGTTTTGTATTTTTCATCTGTTCTTGCAGCTCCGCAACAGTCGTTTACACGGTTAGGCCTACGTGACATGTGCCTTGCGTTTCTATTTTTGCCTATGTGTTTATTTACATTCTTTCAAACACACTCAGACCAGTGATGTTAAGAGAGCCGTGATAACTGTGTCACGATACAGCCTCGCCTGCAAGAACACGCTATCGTGTATTATTGCCGTCATCATAGCTGATAACAACAACAACTTATAAACCGTCAAAAGTGCACAGTTGCTTTCATAGGTAACGTTAGTCGCCATTACCTGCTTTATGACGCGCGTGTAGTGTGAGACATCGTACTCCTGCCAAACATGATGTGTAATGTTGCAGTTATTGTTTGCAAGTTGTGTTACATGAGCAATTAAAAGTTACTAAATTCCAGTCATTTGAGTTATCTATTGTCAGGAATCATGTAGCAACAGTCAAGAAATAATAATATTTCAAGCTTATATTTTTGGACACTCAGTTCACACTGAAAAAATATTACTAGTATTATTATGATGTATCTATTTTTTTTTCTTTACAGCAGTGCATATATTCAGTAAGCCTAAGAAACGTCACGCTAATATTAATAATATATTCAGCGGCTACACAAAGAATGTAAGTCATTTGAAAAAATATGTATGTTGTTACATTTATTTAATATTACATTCGTGTTTATGCATCAAGTTACTCCAAAAAAGTCAGTTGGACACTTAATTCACAATTATAAAAATGATATACATTCAAAAGGATATAGAATAAATCACACTTAAAGCATTTGCATTTAGTATTATTAATATTATTTTAATAAACAATATTTGTTTTTAAATAATTATAAATCCAGTCACCACAAAAAAAAAATGGACATGCACTTGTCTCACTTATTTTTTTAATTTTATTATTAGTTTATTTTACTCTTTTGGGGGATTGGTCAACAAGCTGGGTGGCACATGTAAAGAATTGTGGACTAAAAAAATGGTCAGAACTAGTTTCACCTTTCTAATGTTTTTTTTTTTTTTTTTTCATTTAACTGACTGGTCCCAAGGTGTTTTTATTGTGTGTAGAACTAGTCCAGGTCATCGCATTTACTATGGACATGTACATATATATTTTGCTTGGATAAAACATTGTTTTTGTTTTTTTTAAATAAAGTCCACTTCCTTTAACATTCCTATATTTTCTTTCAAGTGTGGCGTAAGTGTCCCAATAGATCTTGAAGCCTGACTGTAGATACGAAGACAAACCATGGGAAGTGAGTTGAGGAAAGCCAGCAGTGTTGTAAATCGTGCAGTCCGTGAACACGTTCTTGGACTGGTCAAACGGACCGAGTGTTTGGTGTCTGTTCAGCGTCCGACCCCTGTGAGATCATCTACAGGAACAGACGGAACACAGAGGTAAATACGTCTCTATGTACACCCAAAAAAACATTTAGCTATCTCAAATGTGTGCCGGTTTGCTACTGGAACAAAACAAACACATTAGGTGCAGGATGTTCTGCCCTCTATATTTGCTTTAAATGTTTGTCTTTAAGGAGAAGTGAGTTTTGTTATGCAGATAGGCCTACATCTCATGCCTTAAATGGGAACTCTTACACACCCTGCATCTCAGCTTTATGTGGAACTGTGTAGTAATTTATGGATGCACTGGGTGAGTTTCCAGAGAAAATTGAAGTTTGGTTTTGGCTAGTGAGACTAAACTGGTAAAACTGGTTATGGGACATTGAAGTAATATGGACATTTAGGAGGCCTTCTTATCTTTGCAACTTTGCAACTAATAAAGCTTTAAAGGTGACACAAAAGTAATGGTGTGAGAGTTTGGGGCTGGGCTGTTTGTTCGTCCAACCAATAGCAGCTCAGGAACAAAAAAAAAGATGGTTTGGAATCCTGTTTTGCAATGCAAGTGAAATACACTTCAGCTTAGGAGTAAAATCACTAACGTATATTCAGAAAGGACAGTTTGTGTAGGAATAAAAACAGACTGAAAAGTGCATTGATGTTATAGCCAATGTTGTTTAATACTATTTTGTCTAAATAAAAATAAAAGCTAAAATTGTTTAGGCATCAAAAATGATAATGTGCAGTAAGAAGAAAATGGATATTCCTTCTGAGATTTGTTAAAGGTTAAATTTAACAGTAGTGTTTTTAACTATTAAAGGGTTCAACCAAAAATGAAAATTCTGTCAGTAATTACTCGCCCTCATGTTGTTTCAACCTCGTAAGATCTTCCGAACACAAATTAAGATATTTTTGATGAAATCTGAGAGCTGGCTCACTCACACACTCCTTGTTTCCTGTCTGCCATCATTGGACACATTGATTAATTCAGGTGTGCTTGACCTCAGTAGTCACGGCAACAATAATCAGACACACCTGAATTAATCAATTTTGCCCAATAATGGCAGACAGGAAACAAGCAGCTGGCTGAAGTTCAGGAAGTAGTGCAGCTGTACATAAAGCCCATTGAACAACATAAGGGTGAGTAATTATTGACAGAATTTGCATTTTCCTTTAACTTTGAGTGTCATGGCGCTTTTCCACTGCTGGTACGGCTCGGCGCGGCATGGTTCGGCTCGCTTCGCTTTTTCACTGCGAGGTACGACTGAACTCGGCACGGCTCAGTTTGCTTTAGCTCGGTTGCTTTTCCACTGCAGTTAGTACCGCTTTAAAGTGGGTGGGATTAGTTTAAAAACAGTCGCTACAGCGGTGGATGTTACTGGCTATTTCAATCTAGCGGGTTTGGTTTCTCACGTCACAAATACAATGACACTGGTAGTGACGATTCTGTCTGACCAATCAGTGATCTGCAGTGTTTCAATTCACATTTTAGTACCGGTATGGTACGCTTGGAACCTCAATAGACCAGGTACCATTTAAAGTAAGCCGAAGCGAACTGCACCGTACCATGCAGTGGAAATGCGCCATAAGTGAGCCTAGCCGTACCGTACCATGCTGTGTAAAAGCTCCAAAGCTTGCCATACCGAACCGAACTGTACCGTACCATGCAGTGGAAAAGCGGCATTAGATGATAGTAAAGGTAATCTATATGTAAAACCAAGAGAATTTAGTATGAACAATATCGCTGTCACCGATAAATAAACCAACTAAAATCAGCCAATAACACAAATAAAAGTAAAGGCCATTGCACACTGAGTCCGAAGTTCGCATCCGAAATTTTCGCACGTTAAAATAAAAATTCGACCTCACGTTATGTCAATCACGCTTGCACACCGCCTCCGAAACTTTCGTCCGTCATAACAAAAATTCGGATCGGGTTCGATTTTCTGCGTTTTTCGCATCCACAGCCAGCATTTTGAGAGGTTTTTTGACAATTCAGGGCCGGGGGGAGCTCGTTTACTGATTATGGAGCTCATTCCGCACATCATTGCACATATGCGCAGTGCTTTCAGTTTCAGTTTTCAATTCTATCAAGTGTTTATGTTCTCTTTTCTCGATTGGATTATGAAAGGAATAACCTCCCCTTTCAATCAGATTGAAATTTCGGATCGATTAATGTGTGATTGAGCAGCCAATTCGATAACTAATGTATTATGTAGTATTATGTGCCCAGCATTTTTAAAATGTGGCTCCAGAATCGCAAGCAAAGCATCAAACTGTTCCACTGACATTCTGAGGTAATTTTTGAATCGCTCGGGATAAATTCGCAACTCCCTGAAAAGGAGGTGCTTCCTCTCGGCGCAATTTCAGGATTGGATGGACGTAATATTTTCTCTTTCTTCTCTTTTCAATAAGAGAGAGGACAACAAAATCATCCTCACTGCTTGACGAATTCATTTTGTATTTTTGCGTTTTTCCACGCAAAGTTTTAATAAATACGCATCGGACTCAGTGTGCAAGGTTTCTGTGCGTGACGAATTTTTAGGCTGATGAACACGAAAAAACGCATACGAAAATTCCGTACTCAGTGTGCAATGGCCTTAACTTTTTGCCTGTGTGTAAGTTTTTTTCAGTCCTATTGCTATTCAGGAAACCTATTGCCTGAAAATGATGTAATAAACCTCATGTGTAATTAAAAAAAAAGTAAGTTACGTGATTCCACATAACTTAATTTTTTCAATTACGCATGAAGTTTACTTAATCATTTTTAGGTAACAGGTTTCCTCATTTTTTTAAGTTAAGCCAACTGATCACTTTATGCAGTGTAACAGAATGACAAACAAACACATTGTAATCCAAATGTCTTTTTTATTGTTGTTATTAGTGTTTTTAAAGAATAACTTTACATGTGTGTTAGATTACAGCAAAGGTAATCTAAATGTAAAAACAAAACGAAATAGGGGAGATGAGCATGTACAATTAAATATGTTACATTAAAAAAAATACATCTCTTTGTATATACACATACATTACTTTTAGCTTGCATCCGTTTTGCTGCAAAACCCAGAAAAGAAAAAAATGTATCAAATGCAAAAAATCCACATAGTACAACTTCAAAACATAGATGCTACTTCATTGCAGTACTAAGATTTCACCTGTCACTCACCTTAACTATATACAAATCTGTGCAAAATATGCAATATTTAAATCTCTTAATATCACCATAAGAACATGAACAAGCAGATGCGTGTTGCATTCTAAAATGGACCAGCCATTAGTTTAAAAACAACAACTGAAAACGTTATTGCTCTCCGGCAGCAATTGTGCATAGTTGATGGTAGAGTTGGGAGTCCAGGAACCTCGAGTACGAGTTGTGCTCCATCAGGAAGTAGACTCGATTCTGGGCTGCTTTGAAACTTGACTGTGTTGGGATCAGCAGGCTTTGGTGGAGGGACTCCTTGGTGTTGAAGTCCAAGTTGATCTAGAGAAGGAAGAGTTGAACGAAATGAGTAGGCGTGGCACCGCTTGATGGAAAGGAATAAACTTTGCTGGCGTTGATGAAACCTCACCTGCTTCGGAGACTCGGCATCGACGAATTCTTTGTATATTGTTTTTGCCCTTGATCGGAGTTTTGATCTCGACCTGGTCTTTCTAAACTCTTCGCAGGCCAGCCAGAACTCGATATTCTCCTCGCAGTGTTCAGACTTCATGAAGAGGCGCAAAGCAATCGTTCCATCTGAAATGTGAAAACAGTCATAAGATCAGTTGCCATTAAATAATGTGGTGTATTTCCAAATAATATAAAAATATACCTGTCAAAAGTTTGAAAACATTACTATTTTTAATGTTTTTAAAAGTCTCTCGTCAAGCCTTTTTTTTTATTTTGTTAAATAATACTACAAAATAATGGTTTTCTATTTCAATATATAATTTATTTCTGTGATCAAAGCTGCATTTTCAGCATTGTAACTCCAGTCTTCAGTGTCACATGATCCTTCAGAAATCATTCTAATATGCTATTATTGTCACTCTATTATTTTAAGTTGTAATAATATTTCATAATATTACATTTTTCTGTTTTTGATCAAATACATGTAGCCTTGATGAGAATTAGAGACTTCCAAAAACATTAAAAATAGTAATGTTTCCAAACTGTGTGTGTAACATGTTACGTGTGATAAAAATATTAAATAAAAATAAAATGTAAGATTAAAATTAATAAAATAAAATATAAGATAAAAATATTTAGAAATATCAATTACATTTGCTGCTCAACAAGTTGTCCAGAGATTGTGCCCATTGACTAACTTCTTCAGTAGTTGGCCTGTGCGGATATAAAGACATACATGTAAATGAGTTTGAGTTGAAATCAAAGTGAGATGTAAATCAAGTAAATCACATTAAACATTTAAAAGATTTAATGTTAAATTAAATTATCTATTTAATAATTCATTTTTTTTTTATTAAGCCAATTATCACCACAGTAAATAAATGAACAGTATCAACCATATTCTCACCCGTATGATTTTCTCTGTGGCGTGGTTTTCTGTGATTCTCTCGTGGGAAACGTCTTGAACAGCATTTTTGATGTCCATTTGGTTTTTCTGTTAAACAAAATCAACAAACATTAGCAACCACATGTGTATCGCTCGGCGTAAACCAAATGCAACTTGATCAAATACACGTCTCACTTCATTTCGTGTTCTGTAGTCGTATCAGGTTTGCTGAAGTCGATCAAGGGATTCTTGCTCGAAGATAGTGCGGAATTTCTCGTTTTTGCCAATCTATCCATTTCTATGAAATGAACTAAAACATGTTGTCTTGAAGTGTGCTGCCTTTATATCCAAGGGCTGTGTGCTGTGGGCGGGGCTTCATCAGCAGGGGAAGCATCTGATTGGTTGCTTTGCATTAGCATTGGAGTGGTCACGTACTTGTGCAAGTCTTGTTGGCAGGAACACAGTTGCAGTTCTTTCTCAAATAATCTTTCATCAAACAAAACTTAATGTTTATTTAAACTCTCTGTGTGTGTGTGTGTACACTAAACTATACAGATTAAAACTAAAATATAAGGATTGTTTAAAACTTTTTGATCTCATATTTCCCATTTCCTATAAATTCCATTTGTCTTTGTAAATATATCTAATGACATTTTTATTTCTTTACTGTAAAACATGCAAAGTAGTAAAAATAAGGATTAAGTATACGTGCAAGTTTAAAGATGAGTCAATTGTAATGTGACCGGATGTTAATGCAATACCCAAAAGACAAACTGGAATGTTCCCATCCTAGATTCCACGTGTTTCTATTTGTGGAAGGCAGTTTTTTATTTATAGAAACTCTTCTAAAAATAGCTCATGTCTTTGTCTGTGTTTTAATTACTTTGGATGTGATTCAAACCACAAAACTCTTTGTAATCTTTGCCTTCTTCACGTTTTGACTGCAGATATCAGGCTGCTTGATGCTTAAGTTGAAAGATTTTAGATGATACAGAAACATGCATTTCCTGAAGAAAGAGAGCAGTGGGTCACCTATCATATTTAGGCTTTTTAAGGGGGAAAAACAGTGCTTTAAAACCTTCATTCAGAATCAAGGGCCTGGCCAATAAACATATTGTGTTGTGGTGGAAGAGTAAACATCTGTGACAAGACAAGCCGTGTTGGAACCTTGACTTTAAAGTGCTAAATTAGATCAACATGTTTGCAGCTGACAGACTAGCCGTTTTTAGTCATCCTTGAGCACAAGTGTTTGTGTTCTCTTTTTAGAGTAGAGCTTAATGCATTACTGTACGCATTAAGCATCCATTATCTCAGACGTAGCACTTAATTGTGAGAAATGCAGCACAGCACCTGTAACTTGCATGACAAATTGCATGACTAGATGACTGTAATGACTGCATTTCTCATTTCTGAGAGCAAATCGGTGAAATTTTTACAGAACAGGTTTCCCTGCTTCCAAGTACAAGCTCTTTAGAACATTCTCAAAACATGCTGGATAACATGATCATCTTTATTTGTGTGTGTGTGTGTGTGTGTGTGAACATGAGTTCTTTTTGCACTTAAACAGTCAAATACACACAAAATAATGTCATAATTCCGGTCTTGACGAGTATTCACGTAAACACAGTCAGTTATGGTTAAAGTGAACATAAATAGTTGAGAAAGAAAATGCATGCGTAGTATGATGGAAATGTGCGTCAGGTCTTAAAGTGACAGCAGCCTAATATACCTGCCGCCAAATTATGAGATAATATTAAAAATATCTATATGGCAGTTTTTCCCCAGGGTATCGATGTGAAAATTGTGAAAATGCCAGCAACTACAGTGGCTGGTGAGTAGGGTTGGGAAAATTAGGGCTGTCAAACGATTAATCGCATCCAAAATAAAAGTTTGTGTTCCCGCGGAGTCTTAAAAAGTCTAAAATTCTGAACTTTAAATTTAAGGCCTTAAAAAGTCTTAAAAATGGCCAGATTTTCATCTGAGGTCTTAAATTTGATTTAGTCAGGTCTTAAAAAGATTTTACCCTCGTTCATTTGCCAAAACTTTGGCCGCAGAAAGTATTGAGTCGTAGCCTACAAAGCGGAGCTCTAGAGCGGGGGTTCAAACCGGTTCAAACACGGCGCTCGCGTGCTAGCGTTAGCTCGTGGCTTTATACGAGGTAGCTTGCCAAGAGGCCGATCACACACAGCGGGGTTGCGTGCTCAAGTTCATTCAAATATAGGCGCGTGGCATCTGCAGCGAGATTGAAAAAAATCTTACCATTTCAGATTCAGAATGCCGCAAACGAACCGAAGAATCCATAACAACACTGAAAGCTAAGTCAACATGAACCCAAACACTACGGGTGTTTTTCTCTTCTCCGTGAATAAATCTTACAGTAAGTGTTTCTCGGTGGTGGAAAAGACGCAACAGGAAAATCGGCCCCTATTTTACTATTAATAATAAAAGATAAGGGGATATGCATGTGAATGTCAGTAATTTATCTTTTTTTGACTCAATCTTTTTATAAAAGATTATTTAAAGGCTGAAATACGTGAGGTTTATCTGTTTATGAAACTATTTTTGTGAAGACTTTATTTGAACTAGACTTAACCTCTTGCAAGATACTCCTTTAAAATCTGGCCATCATTTTAATGGTATTTTAATGTTTATGCTAAATGTCGAAACCCAGCAAATAAATAAAATTAGCATCAACTTTTTGTTTACATAAACATTAGCCCTTAAAGAGTTTCTGTATCTTGGGGGATACTGACATTTAACAGGCTGTAGGCGGAGGGGCTATAGGGGGAGGGGCATTATTTGGTTGCAGTTGATGAGAAACACAGATGGGGTGATGGGTCATGTCATAAGGTCATGTGACTTTTTGCTATAACATTCCAAATATTTGTATCAAACTCCAAAATGGCAGCATACGTAGACAATGGCACTGGCCATGAGTGGCCAAAGTGTTTTTATATTTTTCACGATTATGATATTTTAAGAGTGATTTTGTTTTAGAAAGTAGTTTTTTAAGGATAGTTTTACATGTTCGTGTTGATATTTTCAAAATAATCTTCTCACAACTTTGATTATCAGGCAATGAATGTTTGTATCCCAGGGGATACATTGGCCATATAAGGGTATTTGCCAGGGCTGATCACTCACACAGATATTCTCATGTTTTGAGGCCTGTTCTCTACAGATATTGAATGGGATAAAGGTTTTGGATGTGCCAGGATGGGCAGATATCCATCATGTGTCAGAAGTGCAAAGTGAGGCTTTGCCTGGTCACTGGACAAAATGCTCGCAACTGTTTTGTCAGCTTCCATTGCCCATAGAATATACAGTATCTGTTGTGGGGCACCACAGTGAAGATGGTAGAGTTAAAAAAACAAAACAAGAAAAAGGTGTTTTAAAAATCGGCACATGAACTGTTTAAAAAGTTATGAAATATTAAATGTATATCCTACATAGGCAATGCATCTTGGGAGAAAAAGTTCAGTTTTTTCCAATTTTTCTAATGTTGTATGGATAATATGAAAATTGTAGCTAATTAATTGTTCATTAAATGTTTTAAAAGTTGTCATATGAACTATAAAAAAAAAAAAAAAAGCAAAATGTAACCCTAAATGGGCAATGTATCTCGGGAGATACAGAGTGTAACTTAGAAACTATAGGTCATATTTTGAAAAAAATGCATGAACTCTGTCATTTTAGTCTAGATATATACAAAAATAGCAATGAATCATTTTTCCATCAAAATTATTTATGCTTGCCCCTTAAAGGGTTAAAATACCATTAAAATGATGGCCAGATTTTAAAAGGAGTATCTTGCAAGAGGTTAAGTCTAGTTAAAATAAAGTCTTCACAAAAATATTTTCATAAACAGATAAACCTCACATATTTCAGCCTTTAAATAATCTTTTATAAAAAGATTGAGTCAAAAAAAGATAAATTACTGACATTCACATGCATATCCCCTTATCTTTTATTATTAATAGTAAAATAGGGGCCGATTTTCCTGTTGCGTCTTTTCCACCACCGAGAAACACTTACTTTAGCTCTGCTACAAGATTTATTCACGGAGAAGAGAAAAACACCCGTAGTGTTTGGGTTCATGTTGACTTAGCTTTCAGTGTTGTTATGGATTCTTCGGTTCGTTTGCGGCATTCTGAATCTGAAATGGTGAGATTTTTTTCAATCTCGCTGCAGATGCCACGCGCCTATATTTGAATGAACTTGAGCACGCAACCCCGCTGTGTGTGATCGGCCTCTTGGCAAGCTACCTCGTATACAGCCAAAGATGAGTCAAGCTACCTCGTATACAGCCACGAGCTAACGCTAGCACGCGAGCGGCGTGTTTGAACCGGTTTGAACCCCCGCTCTAGAGCTCCGCTTTGTAGGCTACGACTCAATACTTTCTGCGGCCAAAGTTTTGGCAAATGAACGAGGGTAAAATCTTTTTAAGACCTGACTAAATCAAATTTAAGACCTCAGATGAAAATCTGGCCATTTTTAAGACTTTTTAAGGCCTTAAATTTAAAGTTCAGAATTTTAGACTTTTTAAGACCCCGCGGGAACCCTGTGTAAACACAAACTTTTATTTTGGATGCGATTAATCGTTTGACAGCCCTAATTTTCAATTCCCAACCCTACTCACCAGCCACTGTAGTTGCTGGCATTTTCACAATTTTCACATCGATACCCTGGGGAAAAACTGCCATATAGATATTTTTAATATTATCTCATAATTTGGCGGCAGGTATATTAGGCTGCTGTCACTTTAAGACCTGACGCACATTTCCATCATACTACACATGCATTTTCTTTCTCAACTATTTATGTTCACTTTAAACATAACTGACTGTGTTTACGTGAATACTCGTCAAGACCGGAATTATGACATTATTTTGTGTGTATTTGACTGTTTAAGTGCAAAAAGAACTCATGTTCACACACACACACACACACACACACAAATAAAGATGATCATGTTATCCAGCATGTTTTGAGAATGTTCTAAAGAGCTTGTACTTGGAAGCAGGGAAACCTGTTGTGTAAAAATTTCACCGATTTGCTCTCAGAAATGAGAAATGCAGTCATTACAGTCATCTAGTCATGCAATTTGTCATGCAAGTTACAGGTTCTGTGCTGCATTTCTCACAATTAAGTGCTACGTCTGAGATAATGGATGCTGAATGCGTACAGTAATGCATTAAGCTCTACTCTAAAAAGAGAACACAAACACTTGTGCTCAAGGATGACTAAAAACGGCTAGTCTGTCAGCTGCAAACATGTTGATCTAATTTAGCACTTTAAAGTCAAGGTTCCAACACGACTTGTCTTGTCACAGATGTTTACTCTTCCACCACAACACAATATGTTTATTGGCCAGGCCCTTGATTCTGAATGAAGGTTTTAAAGCACTGTTTTTCCCCCTTAAAAAGCCTAAATATGATAGGTGACCCACTGCTCTCTTTCTTCAGGAAATGGATGTTTCTGTATCATCTAAAATCTTTCAACTTAAGCATCAAGCAGCCTGATATCTGCAGTCAAAACGTGAAGAAGGCAAAGATTACAAAGAGTTTTGTGGTTTGAATCACATCCAAAGTAATTAAAACACAGACAAAGACATGAGCTATTTTTAGAAGAGTTTCTATAAATAAAAAACTGCCTTCCACAAATAGAAACACGTGGAATCTAGGATGGGAACATTCCAGTTTGTCTTTTGGGTATTGCATTAACATCCGGTCACATTACAATTGACTCATCTTTAAACTTGCACGTATACTTAATCCTTATTTTTACTACTTTGCATGTTTTATAGTAAAGAAATAAAAATGTCATTAGATATATTTACAAAGACAAATGGAATTTATAGGAAATGGGAAATATGAGATCAAAAAGTTTTAAACAATCCTTATATTTTAGTTTTAATCTGTATAGTTTAGTGTACACACACACACAGAGAGTTTAAATAAACATTAAGTTTTGTTTGATGAAAGATTATTTGAGAAAGAACTGCAGTGTTCCTGCCAACAAGACTTGCACAAGTACGTGACCACTCCAATGCTAATGCAAAGCAACCAATCAGATGCTTCCCCTGCTGATGAAGCCCCGCCCACAGCACACAGCCCTTGGATATAAAGGCAGCACACTTCAAGACAACATGTTTTAGTTCATTTCATAGAAATGGATAGAAAAACGAGAAATTCCGCACTATCTTCGAGCAAGAATCCCTTGATCGACTTCAGCAAACCTGATACGACTACAGAACACGAAATGAAGTGAGACGTGCATTTGATCAAGTTGCATTTGGTTTACGCCGAGCGATACACATGTGGTTGCTAATGTTTGTTGATTTTGTTTAACAGAAAAACCAAATGGACATCAAGAATGCTGTTCAAGACGTTTCCCACGAGAGAATCACAGAAAACCACACCACAGAGAAAATCATGCAACAACAAAAAGTGCATATTGATGCTAATTTTATTTATTTGCTGGGTTTCGACATTTAGCAAATTGATTTCATAATAATCATGAAATGAAATGTTCATGCCATTTCATCTCTAGTTATGATCAACTAAAATCAACTATATTTGTTTTTGTATAAAATGCAAAGTACAAATTTCTATACTTTCTGTGAATGTTATTTTCTCTGACACACACACACACACACACACACATGTATATTAGGCTATTACTATGCTGTTTTGTAATGCAAATTAGTATGAAATTAAAACTATTCTATTTGAGGGCAAGTTTGTTTGAACCTATTTTCATTTTAGGCCTAAGGTTTTGGGCATCTGGCACATTGTTGGGTGTAGAAGGTTACCAATGTGATTGCTTTACCTGTAAATTAAATTAATGCTTTTCAATTACTGAATTCATTGAAAAAAAATACTTTTTTCCAAATATTTTTTTATTTAAATTTTTGGTAATGCCGTCGTGTAGGTCTTAAATTTCAATGTTTATGGTCTTAAAATGTCTTAGAAAACGTCTTAAATTTGACTTAATGAAACCTGCAGGAACCCTGTTACATATGTGGGTGCACTGTGTATAATTAGTTTATATATATAAATAAACACATATGCTTGTATATATGTAAGAAATATTTTCATGTATATACTGTATATAGATTTATATATAATTTATATTATATATAAATATCAATATTTTAAATATAAATAATATTTTTTCTTAAATGTACATGCATGTGTGTGTTTATATATATATAAAATAATTATACACAGTGCACCCACATATACTCTCTACGTCACGATGTAACAGCTAATGACTCGTTTCAAAGACAATTCATTTCATAGACTCAGAGTCGACTCTCACTTTTAAAAGACAATAACTTTATATACGGTGCACTTTCAGATATAAATCTTTGCAGGATGTTTTCATTCCCATAGAGATATTCCACACTACATGAACAGTCATTTTCAAAAATCCATGATAGGTGCTCTTTAAAATTCTAACAATACCTAACTATATATATATATATATATATATATATATATATATATATATGAAGAGTTCAGATGCAAAAGCCTCTAAATGCCATTTGAAATTTTCTTCTTTAATGATGATTTTTATCAAACTTGTATATTTAAGTTCAGTAATTTCACTTAAATAACAATTAATAAGTAATTATCATTGCCATTTAAGTGAAATTAGTAAACTTAAATATACAAGTTTGATAAAAATCATCATTAAAGAATAAAATTTCAAATGGCATTTAGAGGCTTTTGCATCTGAACTCTTCATATATACACACACATACAGTCATGGTCAAAATTGATGGCACCCCTGGTAAATATGATCCAAAAAAAAAAAAAAGCCTAATTTTATTTAGGCTTTCTGACCTTAAGACTCAACTAATCTCTGCAATTCTCCATCTGTGATCCTTGGAGAGTCTTTGGCTACTCAAACTTTCACCCTCATCGTCCATTAAGGCAACATAGACACACGTTCTCTTCCTGGCAGAATCGTATCATCTTTAGTTGATAATATCTTCTTAATTATACTCTGATGGTCAAAATGGTGATTTTAAATTCTTTAGATATTTTCTTACAGCCACTTTCTATTTTGTGAAGCTCAACACTCTTTTGCATCACATCATAACTATGTTCTTTGGTTTTACTTATTGTGATGGATGATTCAGGGAATTTGGCTTTTGTGTTTCCTCATATTTAAACTCCTGTGAAACAAGAAGTCATAGCTGGACAATTTCATGTTCCTAGTCACCCTGATGTGCTAAAAAAAAAAATATTAATGGGAATGTACTTCAAACATATTTTTCTCATAAAAAAAATCTAGGGGTGCCAATAATTATGGCCAGCGTGTTTTGGAGAAAAAAACATTGATTTCATAATGATTTACCCCCACTTTCAATTCTTTTACTTTAATGAAAGGTTAGAATTTTGCCATTTTTTTAATGAAACATCAAAAGGATAAAAAAAAAATCCAGATTTTTTTACAGCCATTTTTGATCATATTTACCAAGGGTGCCATCAATTTTGACCATGACTGTATATATACATTGTTATTATTATTTTTTATCTATGTGTGTATGTGTATATATATATATATATATATAGGCCTATACACTTTGATATTATTATTTTTTATCTATGTTTGTATATATATATATATATATATATATATCAAAATGTGGGATAATGTCTCATGCATTAAATGTTCCCAAATAGAACACAAATGAAAGTTCTCCCTACAATGTGCATGTGTAGTCATGATGCTGCACTTTGTAATTCACCTGATCCTTTTCTCTTTGAACATGAATTACTGGTTTTCAGCCTTTGGTGCTAGAAAGAGAACACATCCCTGAATAGCACAAATAGAGCGGTTTGTTCCTGTCACCATTGTGACATCAGAACTATGCATGTTTCCATTCATTTAGTCAATGTGATGCAAATATAGATTTGTGTACATGATTAGTGTCAAAGCCTTGTTGTCAGTGCAGTGCTAAAGAGCATATGGAAAACAGCTTGATTTGCATATGGTACTATTAAAATTCACATGATCAAGTTGAGGTTTACATAGACTAAGACTTTTAGTACAAGACAAGTATGCTGGTTTTGTGTGTGTTTACCAAGAGGTTTCTAAGGTGTTCTGTGTGGTGCGAGAGGTCAAACACCTACCGGCCCACCAGGCCTGTGGTTTACCGTGTATCTTTCCAAATGAAACATCATCGAATTGCTTTACGTATAGTAATTAGGTACGAGAGGCTATGCTGTATTGTGAATAAGTAATAAGGGCGTTATTAGGCACGATGCGAAGCAGAGTAACCCCTTCAACCGTTACTTATTCACGATACAGAACTTGCCTCGAATACCTTATTGCTTTTATAAAACTGTTACCACACACTAAAAATATTAAAGTAAAAAAAAAATGTATTAGTGCCACTTTCATGAAGTAAAATCACTAAAAGCCTTCCTTCGACTAGAAAAAAAATAGTCCCTGACCATGAACAGCAACAACTTCTCAATGTGTAATATGCATGAAAGCTCAAATTAAAACAACTGCAGTGTTGCGCAGTGATAAATAGAACCGGTGAAGCGATCATAGCCGTGTTTTATCATGAATAAAGCACGGCTATTGACCAATCAGAATCAAGGATTGGAACTAACCGTTTTATAAACATGAATAATTTGCCTTTTGCAACACAATGAGCACTTTTAAACCACTTCCGATATGTTATGTCATTACAAATTGTACAGATGAATATCTGCAGCTCATGCAGGGTTTATGGTGAACCTCAGCTGATCAGAAGATACGCGTTTTTGGGAAAAAGACACACTAGGAAGACCTTACAAATGAACTCTCTGCAGCTCTGCTCCATATAAAGTCCATTTTTATGAGCCCATCTGTATCGTCCAGCTTTGCAGATGCCAGACCCAGTGTTTTTAAGAGACTTATCGTCTGTTATGGTGTTCAGACTGTAAATATCAGTGAGTGGTTCACAGTGAGATCGGTGCCAAGTTTCCGTTCGAATAGACGATTGTCCAAAAGTTTTACGCACAAGGTATTTCCCAGCAGTGACACATGTCCTGTACTCATGGGGGACTCCAAAAGTACATTAACATTAAAACAAGATCACTTACTTTTGGTGAGGATGCTTGTTTTTGACATAAAAGAGGCAGCTTGCTTGCTTAGTGAACTTGAAGTAAACGTCATGCATGGTATTTTGTGTGTGTGTGTGTGGGCCTATGTGTGCAAGGACAATTCAGGGAGTTAAAGTACAAAAGTACAGCTGTCCAGTTTGTCCTAAAACAGAATTAAGATTTTTTTTTTTTTTTTTAGTCATGTCTGTGATTTAGTATTACTTGAACAGACTTTCATATAATGTTCTACCACATAAATTAGACACTAAACCACTGTGTTCTTTGGAAACACACAATGCTAGCAGGCTAACAAGCCACTATTCATGAATCAATTAATAAATCAAAGTAATAAATCAACCACATCTTTGCATATCCGACTTGCCAAATAAAACGCAATCTCTGAAAGTCTTCTGACCATGTTTGTAGTGGTTTTCACCCCTCGCAACACACTTTGTTCATCTTTGATCAGCAGTTTTATGCTAGCTATTAGCTCTGTTCCAAAAGCCAAGTTCCTTTTAAGGTAATATGCTGAGTTTGGACTGAACCGCTCTATTTTCAAAATTCATCACAAACTAATTTGGGCATTAGCGTTCTGCGTGAGAAACCATGAAACGAATGGCTAAAGACGTCAGTTCCTAGGAGACACAGTTTTTCCGGTCACAGTTCTGCTTTGGCCCTTGACCAACACATATAAGTTTCTCCAGCGGGAGAGTCCCTGCAATTAGTGTGAAGCGTCTACTAAATGGCAACTCTCACAGAGGAAGGCTTGTTGCATCACAAAATATGTTCGCAACATTAGGCATGCAATAGCAGAAATGTACTAGTTGCAAGATCTCATGACTTTCAGTAGCTGGTGCAATGCACACTTCTCTGGCACTTATGAAGTCTATCTTTCTTAATTCCCTGTTCTGTGGGAACTGAAACTCATCTGTTCCTGTTTCAAAGGTAATTGTTTCACCAAATAGTCATGGGATCTGTCAGCCAAAGGGTTAGAAAAGAATCTTCCCTATGATGTTTTTATTAAATGAGTTGACAGGAGCTGTAAAGTTCATATTTAGTTGTGCTCTTGGTGTTTGGTACATTATAGGTAATGGATGTACTGTCTTAAAACATTGGATAAAAAGATATTTCACAACATATTGACATATTTTATATTTCTTCATAATAACTTTATCTGGCAATATTGGATATTTAATTGTTTCTGTGTAGTTTTTAGATTTAGATAGCAATAACTTAAAGATAGTGGAAGTTTATCACAAGATTTAAGTCTTTAATGTGTGTTAATTGCATTTAGAGAAATATTTATATATCGGCCAATTATCGGTTAGAATATGAAAGTAATTATAAGCTTATTGTGTCGGCCAAAAAATATAAATGATTTTATATACACTTACCAAGGATTATATATATATATATTAGGGCTGTCAACCGATTAATCGCGATTAATCGCATACAAAATAAAAGTTTGTGTTTACATAATATATGTGGGTGCACTGTGTATAATTATTTCATATATGTAAATACACACACATGCATGTATATTTAAGAAAAAAATATTATTTATATATAAAATATTTATATTTATATAAAATATAAATTATATATAAATCTTTATACAGTATATGCATGAAAATATTTCTTAAATGTATACAAGCATGTGTGTGTATTTATATATATAAAATAATTATACACAGTTCACCCACATATATTATGTAAACACAAACTTTTATTTTGTGTGTGTGTGTGTGTATATATATATATATATATGTATTTTTTTATTATTAATAATATTATTATTCATTTGTTTATCCTCCAACTAAAACGTAAGATATTCAAGTGGAAACAAGTCAAAATACTGAGTAAGAAAAATTGTTTTCAGTAATTCGCAAAAGAAAAGCAAAGGATACTGGGTGAACAATATGAAGATATCACTATGAAGCAAACCAAAGACATAAAAGAAAATGGAGTGAAAACAGTGTCCAATCTTTATTTTATCGTCCTCAAAAATGACAAAAGTCAACATCCAACCAGTGGCTGCACTGCGGCTAATAAATAGTAGTATATCTTCATTTAAATTAAACGTTATAACATTACAAGTAATGCCTACGGTTTTTGTGTGTGGCACACATGCTACAACTGTACTTTAACTTGACCTCTCTAGTAGTTCATTTCTTTCTTTAATGTTATACATCTCTGTGGCAATAAGGCACTCATGTTGAAACATGTCAAGATCCCCTTACAAAACTGTCCAAACCACCTCAACCAATAGGCAGAGGTAGTTTTTTGTTACTAAAGTCATTGTTGGACATGGCAAAGCAGTTTATAAAGATCTTCTGGAAGTGCCAGGAAAAGACGATAGTGTTGTCCCCACACTGTAGCTTCGGAAACCACCGGAAGGGCTTGAAGGAGCTGCGTCCTTATCTACACAGGAAGCACGCTCAGTTGAGAAGCACTCCTGGCATTTCAGAAACACGTCAGACTTGTGTTTCTTGTCATTTTGCCTTGATATCAACGGCATGTTCCCAACCATTGCTCCTTTTTGTCTCCTGTTAGTTTCAGAAGTTCCACACGGCGGGGAGCGCGAGCTTCGGGGGTTCTGGTCCTGCACACAAACCAGACCGTTCCAGTTTTAGCATTGGTGTGATACATCACCACACAGTCATCCTCGAGCATCATCCGAAGCAAGGGACTCGAGGAGGGTCTTGTACATCTCAGATCGTAGAAATCTGGGGTAAGAGTCACGTTCCATCAGACCGAAAACGATCTTCTGAGCCTCGTCGAAACACTCTGCCGTCGGACTCCTCACATTTCTCTTGATTTCCTCCCGCGTGTGATAGTCGATGTTTATCTGCGATGCAAATGAGAGGCATTTACGCTATCCTTTTATGAGATGCAACCGATTATGAGATGCACTGTCCAAATAATGAGAAATGACATTGGAAATATGCTAAATGAAGTCATGACCACATCAATTTACATTCAGCAGCCAGTTCATCCAGTATCAGATAACATTTCTTTAATTTCACATTCAAGCGCTGTTCTTTATATTTGTCATACATCTTGACTCGAATAGTTTTTGAATAGTCAACTATTACTGTTGACTTATAATAGTTTACTTATTTTTTATAATATGATTTAATATGATTTAAATACGAATTTGTATCATACATATTTAAATTAGTAAATTAATGATGTATTTATTAAAATTATTATATAAATAGTATGATAATAATATTCTAATAATATACTATATGTTTTATTTATTATACTATTTATTATAATTATTATATTAAGTTAAGTATTATTAAAATGTATAATATAATGATTTATTTATAATATTTATGTTTTTATTTATTATAAATATTATATTAAGTTAATTATTATTAGAATAAATTATATATATTAGAGAGAGATTTTTATGTATTGTATTGCTGCTGTATAAACAGACAAATATGAAAAAAGTGATTATTTTTAAATATTATATTATTGCTACTGTGTATATCTATAAGATGATTTAGAGTTATTTAAATATAGAAAGCTTTGCAGCGCATGGAAAACTATAATTCACTGAAAGCATATCGCGACACTACAGCACGTCTAGTGTACACATCCTCACTGGTTATATAGAGATTTACAAGCGTATATACAGTAGCAACAGGGTGTTGTATGGTTCCTTCTCTACCTCTTTCGGAGATTCTGCTTCGACGAATTGCTCAAAGATTTTCCTCGCCTTCGAGCTCATCTTATGGGACGAAGTTATCTTCTTGTAGTCCTCGCAGGTCAACCAGAATTCGATGTTTTCATCGCTGAATTCTGATTTCAGAAAGGTGCGGAATGTGGCCATGCCATCTGGAGGGAAGCAAATGCGGGTGCGCGTCACAACACGAAACCAGCACCTCTTTAATTTACTAGTGTTTTAGTTTACCCTCGCCTCAATAAACCAATGCCAAAAATAGATATCAGTGCTTTGGGGGGGAAAAAAAAGACTTACATTTGGAACCGAGAAGCCGTTCCAGAGACTGGGACCATTGTTGGGTGTCTTCTAAACTTAGCCTGCTGAGATCAGATGGGTTTGATTAGTTGACCATAACTGGATTAGGAGCAATAACTCTTGTTTGAAATATTTTGGACCTCTTGTCCTTGTATGTGTGTCACTTTTTCCTTACCTCTCCGGAGCAGATGAACTGGTGAACATACACTTTAGTCGGCACATGAGGTTCTTTCCTCTATGGAGAGAAAGTCAGCTTTTTATGCTTCACACATCCAAAGCCTACGCTAAAGCATCCTTGGAGTGACTCATAATAGATTCCCTTATGCTGATGGTTGAGTAAAAATGCCTGAAGAGCACACTTACAAGGTCTTGTTTCTCCTGAAGTCGTCTTTGTCCATGTTGACGTCCGTTGGGAGAGGTTGTGGGATTAGGCCAGGCATGGTAGAGCGAGGACTTATTGCCCAGAAATCCACAGCCGCACGGTCCTGCAAGTGATCATGCTGCACTTGGTGCTCTACAGGTTTCCCTTCTGCGTATCCGGCTCTGCTTTTTATGCCGTGCGACGGTTGCTAAGGGCTCGTTTCATCAACAGGGACTCAGCGACCACAGCAAAGAGGAAGCCCCATCAAACCCTCCCCCTCCTCCCAGTCAGTTGCTCGTGTGCGAAAAGCATTGCCTGTTTCTTCATATTTTTAGGCATGTAAATTCCCGCTGCTGAAATACCAGATAAGCAAATTACAACTTTGCATGTTTTGGCTTTTTCAGTAATCTACAGACGTAACAGGGCCAAATTTTAATGGCGCGCAAATGAAAATAAGAGTCAAATGAGACGGTTAGGCTGCTTCGTCTGTGTTTGTTTTGCTCTTTAGCAGCATATAGGAGGAATCCTTCTCCAAAGATAATGAGTAACTAGATTCACCTGCACTTAAATATAGAGTTTTACAGCCTGGAGAACTGATGCTGACGTTCTGCAAGATATTTGGTCCTCTGGGACTTTGGAAAACCATCTATGTTCTTGTGCTTTAAAAAAAAAAAAAAGCAGAAACAAAAATGCTGATTTAAACTCCAAGGAAGCATATGGCCAGAAACATTTCTTGATAAGAAAAGAGTTATTTGCTGAACCAACTGAGCAAAATAGTGTTTTACTATTACTTATTAACCCTTACATTCATGAATGTTTTGCCAATCATTATTACATATTCAGGTCTTTAGCGACCCGGATCTATATCTAACGCGGGTGGATTTCTACCTTTGGCGATGATATAAAACTCTCCTGATATAAGACTAACAATTACATCCAGAATATTGTCAATAACTCATTTTCAACAACTTCAAAATCAATATTTTGATTGCTGACAGCTTCTTCACCAGATAATCTGCAGTAAATCTCTAAGCCATTTCAAGGTTTGCTGATGATACTTCCTATTCTTTTGTTTTCTGCCTGCGGTGACTATGAGTGAAACTTCACTTCTTACACATCATTGTGTATCAGACATTGTCACCTTGAGGAATAAAGTTGAGTTGCACGTATTCATCAAAGATTCAATTATTGTTGTGCAGAAAAATATACTTACACTGCTACACACTTCGGGATGTTAGAGACCCTATACAATTTTTACAAATATGACCCAAAAAAACATACAAAAAAGTTATATTATTTATTAATTTTTTAATTAATTTTATTTTAATATTAATTTATTTAAAAAAAATTATTTTCTTTTTTTTTAAACAAAATTTACAATACATCACAGTCATGTGGTGCAACCAAAATGCTGTTAAAAAGCATGTTTTATGATAGACTCTTGTCATGACTGTGTGGAGTCAGTATCTCTGAACTTTTCTAATAATTTGATCTTTTTTTGACAAGACAAAATTCGATTAGGTTGTAAAATGTATTGTGGTGCCACTCCACAAAAATATGTCATGATATTTATGAATTAATAATTGATAATAAAAATAAAATTTGAAAAAAGAACTAGATAAAAATAGGTATAAATAATGATTTGGACACACAAGTTGTGGACACTCTATATGGAAACTTTTTGCTTGATGGTTACATCACATGACATCTTTATGGTATGGTGCGCGTCAGGCGTGAATGATTTCAATGTTAAGTCAATGCAAAGACGCGTTACGCACGTAAAAATTTTCTGCGGCACGAATGAGGTGTAGAGCGCGGTGCGGTAGACGCGAATATGCCTCATTCGCGCGTCAAGTTCGTGCGAATGGCGTGAATTGAGCGTCTGCCACGTTAAGCGCGAATGATTTTGTTAGTGCTATTTGAGTTTAAAAATCTTAACTTTTGCATCACATTCGCGCCGCATTAACCAATCAGGAGCCTGCTTGCTCACGTGGTGAAATATCTGGATGCTTTAATAAATTATTTTGTAATATGACTAAATTTGTGTGGTTCTAATGCACAACAAAGCAAATATTTTATCACTCTAAACTTTATTTCAATATACGAGACATGTATGTTAATTTTGTATTGAATGTTATTTATTCCATTTCTAACGTTAGATTATATGAAATATTATTATTATGTAAAGACAACCAACATTCGTGAGAGACAAAAAAAAAATCACAGGACAGGTTAATAACTTGAGGCTGGCTCTATTTATCATCAAAAAAAAAATTACAGATTAGATGGATGAGGGCGAGGGTGATCCTCGCTCCGATGCGGGACAACAGGTCATCAAACTGGGCGCGTGACAGGCTGAAATTAGCGCTGACAGCGCCCGTCATCCAGCGCAAATGGTGAAACTCGCCAAACAGTTCGCCTCCGAAGAGTCCGGTGGACACAAATACGGCGACGATGATCCCCACGCCACTGTTCTAGCTCTCCAGAGCAAATACAGAACGGTGACTCTCTCGATGAATGCTCGGTCGACATAAAAAAGTGTCCGCCAACAGATTACGATTCTGACGCGCGTGACGTGCGTAAAGCGTGTAAATCAAACTTTTGTTTTTACGCGCGTCAGTTTCACTCTTGACGCGCAAATTAACATAAAGTGGTCAAGCGTCAAACTAGAAGCGGTAGACGCGAATTTGACGCACTATTCGCGTCCAGTGTGAACGCAGCATTAGTCATTAAATTGAAACTTTTCTTGAAAAAGGTAGAGAAGTTTTCAAAACCATATGAAAACTGGATTTTTTTTTTTTTTTTAAGATTTCCTGTATCATGGTCATGCATAAATCACAAACCATTTCAATTGACCATTTCTATGTGTTTTACGTGCATTAATCCAGTGTTTTTCTCCATAAGTTGTGTTCACATTAGACTCCATGTGTTAATGACAGAGTGTGTAGACATCCTCAAAGTCACCAATTGAGCAATTGTGTGTCTCGGCTCATATCAGCGCCTGAGAACATGACTCATTTCCTTTTAGTTGCCATGGCGACGGTTTTGGCAGCTAATGATGGTCAGATTAGGTGAGAAGTTGGTCAGGGTGTCATTCTCAGCTAAAAATAACAGACACATATTGGTGAAACGGTTTGTCAATAATTGGTGCATCCGCTGGATGTTTCAAGAAGGGAGCTTTCATTTAACTCTCGCCTGAATCATTTCCTTATGTCAGTTTTACCACATGATTTCACATCAGTGTCCTTTCTGAATGACAACATTTGTGTTGCGTTGAGATGAGAAATTAATGTATGGGGGGAAAATAATGGAAAAAAAAAATAGTACTGTTATCTTTTTCATACATATGTAAAAAAAAAAAGTCATAATTTTTTCAAGAAGTGAACTTACTTTTTAAGTACAATCTAGCAATATCTCCCGCTTGTTTATCACTTTATTTTAAATTTGTTCATGTTTGTCAGTATGAGACGATCTTAAAATGTCAACCCTGTTACCTTTGTGATTTATATTTTATATTATATATTATATGAATGTGTAAGTGGATGTTTAGAAGTAAACAAACACTCTTTTAAGTTTCAATATCTCAATTGTTTCTCTTTGTGGGGTTAAATTGAGCTTTCTGGCTGTTCTTAAATTTTTTCTTCGGAGAAAACTCACTTTTCTCATTCAATGACTACACTCTAAAAGAAAGGTTCTTTAGAGGTTCTTTGCGGTGGTCATTGTGCTATATAGCACCACCGGTTCTTCAGTGGTTCTTCAGTGGTTCTCTGGGGTGGTTAACATGCTCTTTGTCACCTCTTATGGTTTTACACCATATGACAAAGATAAGAGTGGTTCCCCTATGATTACAAGCCAATTAACCACTTTTAGTGCTATTTAGCACCATTTTTTTAGAGTGTAATTAAGAAATATGTATCATATATGTTTTGAACTATACATCAACAGTTGTCAGATTTCTCAGTTCTCCTCAGCTATTTTAAGAGAAACATCTGACGCAAAGTTGATAAATATATCAGAACTCCTTTAGTCTCCTGAGATTTGAAAGAGTTCTTCTGGTTCTGCTTTAATATCGTCATATTTTAATGTCCAAATTAAATTTTTCCACGAAAAACCCCATTCATAAAATCAAATAATGTGCATTCAGTAATACTTCAGGCTCGTCTCTGCATCAGTTCGCTCGGGTCGGACATGAGACCAAACCACAATTCTTCACAGCCTATGGAAAACCTCGGGTTTCTGCTCATAATTAGTCTAAATATAGCTAATCTGCTATTTACTGTATTAGTCCCCATTAACTCCTTTAGTCTCCTGAGCTTTGAAAAGAGTTCCTCTGGTTCTGATTTTATATCGTCATATTTGAATGTCCAAATAAAAATTTTATATGAAAAACCCCATTCATAAAATCAAATAATACGCATTCAGTAATACTTTTAAATTAAAAAGCGTCTTAATCCAATAAACATGGGATTTTTTTTTCTTCAATATGACAAGGACGGTTATTTCTTAAAACAGTGCTGTCTTTATTATAGAATTGCTTTCCCCAAGAAAGAACATACACTGAGTGTGACCTATCATGCGTCACACGGCCATTGACTCTGTTTTGGTGTAATTCGAGGTTAGTCAAACAAAGTAATTCTGAGCAGCTCAGAATTGCCTTTTTAAGTCTTGAAACTCAGGATGAAAGTCTTTGTCACTGTGGGGTCAGGGGGTGACAAGGATTATTATTGTACATTATGGCTGCGTCTCTCACTTAAGGGTCGTCTCTGCATCAGTTCGCTCGGGTCGGACATGTGACCAAACCACAATTCTTCAATCACAGACTATGGAAAACCTCGGTTTTCTGCTCATAATTAGTCTAAATATAGCTAATCTGCTATTTACTGTATGCTTGTGTGTTCTAACCATACAGATGGCATGACGTTCACTTTTACTTTGGGCAGATGAAGATATTGAATGCCTGGAAAAAAGTTTAATTTTAGGTTGGATCAAAACATTATATATCATGTAATATGAAAACAGTTTGCTACCAATTGTGTGCATTGAATAGTTGATATACAATTTACTATAGATTTTCTTTCTTAAAATTGAAAAATCCATATGACTCTAGGTTGTTTTTAGCCTGTTATGATTATAATTACCACTAAAACAGTAGAAATACGACAGTAACAGGGCTGAATCATAACCTAAAAGATTAT